ATGTATACTTACCAGTCCTCCACTTTCTTCAGTTCATATCTTCTGTTCTCTCCTGCTTCACCTCCTTGTCAGTTCCAGCGCTCGTGTAGTATCCGTGGTGAATAGTTTTCTTTCTTGTCCGGCTCGCTTCATGACACCGCATGCTCCTCACCGCAAAATGTAAATGATCTCTACCACCCCTTACTACTAACTTGGAAAAATGAATGGTATAGCCTTCATTTTCCTAGATTTTAGTAAACAAAATCAATAAATCGATAGAAGGATCCAGCGAATTGCCGAAAAAAGTAGCCTATCTTTTGCGCCGTGGCTTGTTTATAGGGAAACAAAATTCAGCCTCTTTGGTTCACATACAAAGGAGTCTATAAGCCACAAACATCCTAACAAACACGGTACAGTGTTTGAGTTTTATATATATATATAGATAGATTCATGAAAGACATAAGCCTTTTTCCACTTACTTTTTACCTTAAAATGGGCTAAAGAATACATTCTCAAAAGATCGCGGTCAAAAATATGCAAAAAGCTCAAAACTGACTTCCAACACACTTTGCTGCTGGAAGTAAAATCGGCTTTCAAGTCCATTTGAAGGTAGCAGCTCGGCAGATTGAATAAATTCGGGATATCCATCGTTCTCGGTTCCCCTGGATGAGCTAGTCCAAGACTGTGCTTTGCAGCTTCAAAAGATATCAATAACCCGCTTTTCCAGACTTAGAAAGTGCTATTTGGGCGGACCGCGTAAGCCCGCCCTCTAGAGCGCATTGGTTCATGAGTACGGTGGGTACGGTATCTCCACTCGCAAACGAATTGCGTTCGGGAACCGAGAACGATGGATATCCCATAAATGTCGATCTGTCGAGCCGCTGCCTTTAAATCCCAATTTGCCCCATTCTAAATGGACTTTTCGCATGATTCTTTCGCAAGCGAAAGCTCAGGTACGGTTGAATCATTTTCATTGCGCCGCTTTGCCTTGTGGATGCAATGAGATGGAAAATTTTGAATAACGCGAGGAAAGCAGATTCCGACCAGTTTCCACCGCGAACGATTAAAATGGGGTTTGAAAGTCCATTTTCCTCCATTATGGACTTTCGTATCATTCCTGGCTTTTCAAAGATTCATATCCGCGAAAGTCCATAATGGAGGAAAATAGACTTGCTTAGCCCATATTATTCGTTTGTGGTAGAAACTGGTCGAAATCGGCTCCCGCTTACAATATCCAAAATTTTTCATCCTTCAACCGCGAAGCAAAGCGGTGAAATGAAACGATTTAAGCTTACTTGAGCTATCGCTCGCGAGAGATGACGTCAAAAGTCCATTTTGAAATGGGGCAAAATGGAGTTCACCTCCATGTTTATTCTCTCTCACCTTTCTGATAAGCCCAACTAACTCCCAGCAGCCAGATCTGCTGGGACTAAGCCTATTTTTGACCTTTTTGCCCATTTTCGACTTCAACTTTTTGCGAGTATGTTTTTGGTCTATTTTAGGGTAATATACCGAAGAAAAAAGCTTCAGCTTTTCTGTGAGAGCTTAGAAAGGAACTTTTTTCAGAGGCGCATAAAACACATGGAAAAGTTAGGAAAAGCTTTTGTTTGAACGTAATTTGCATTTTCTGGCTTATCTGCTTGTAAACAGCCCATAGAAAGTCCTAAGAGATAATAATAACGACTTCCCGTATAATGTAGAGGAAAAACAGTTGGTTAACCCATGTAATCGATAGCGCAGCCATATATCCTCATAAATTGATATCCACAACCTTTAGCAACACTTTATATACTCTCACAAAGCTATTGCAGACAACATCAGTTTACTCTTCATTGTTGCACTAGATACATTTTTTGCATATAATAATTTTTTTTTCAGAAAAGCTGTTTCTCGATTAATTTTTTCTATTTTCAGACGGAGTTTGCTTAATTCTAATTCGTTTTGTAACAGCTGCATCTTCATTCCGCAATTTTCGATTTTCTTCGTCTTTAGCACTTTTGTTCCTCGACTAGTAAGCCTGTAGAGAATTCTTACATAGCAGTAACACGTCGATCAGACTTTAATCTCGCGCGGAGACATAAAAACAAGAAATTTGTGAAAAACATCATCTTGTTTTCACCACGGCTTTTTTTACACTTTCTGATGCCCAGGAAAAAACTTGCAGTGTTCAAAATAATTACCACTCGAATTTTCTTCAAACATGAAATTTTTTCTGTTTTTTACTTCCAATTTTTTTGTAGATCTGTATTTTTCTAACTCAAAACGAAACTCAGGCTGTAGTGTGGTACAAGGTTTCCTTGAAATAAGAAATTTACAGCATCTTGATTTGCAGATAGCAGTACAAAACTACAGTGCTGGCCATAAGATGGAGTTTCGTTCATCAATACCAGCGACTACGCCATATTGACTCCTGCGCTTTTCATCATACTCATTGCAAAGGTTCGGCGAAGTCTAGGACCTTCATTTTAGTCAAACAAATGCTTGAAAATTCGGTGAAAAGGCAGTTTTTCCAAACATTATAACTTTTTATATATCATGAAGCAGAAAATGCAAGATGAATGTTCTTTTTGAAAAGACGACTGCTTCCAAGTGTGGTAAATGTTTTATATTTTGATATTGTATGTGTACAAAAAATTTCAGCCTTAAAAAACGTAGTACTGATTGGAAATGAGAGGTGGCTTTATAGCTGTGACCAGCCTTGGGAACCCCTTTTTTCAAATTTTTCAATTTTTCTTCGGCCTAATCAATGAAATCGGGAGCTGTTCTGGTCAATGATACGACGTTAGTTTGCACACAGTATAGTGGTTTTTTGGACAATTTGGAGCAAGAGAGAGCAAATTACAGTGATTTTTAGGGTGGCTTTATAGCTATGGCCAGCACTGTAGCAGAAGTTTGCTATCTGCAGAAAAGCTCTGCATTAATTTTGTTTGGGGTGCATGGTAAAAATGCAGAAATAAAATCTTGGATATCACTTTGATTCTGAGTAATACTGGAAGCGTTTGAGTGAGTCATAGTCATCGACAATAGATGGGATCTTGTGAGATGTAATGAGATGGAGAAAATAGAATTTCCACAAGAATGACAGCGTTATGTTAGGTCTATTTGGCCAGATGTCGACTAGTATGGTGGGAATGGGTTTACAAGAATGAGCTAATAGGTTGAGACAAGTTAGAAGGGTTTACTAGAGCACTATTGTATGGAATGAATGATTTCGCCTGCGATATTTTATCGCACCGCATGGACTAAACCCATTTTCGCGTTTCATTCGCGAAAAGCCCATTTTTTAAACGGACTTTCGTGGATATCATTCAAAGATGTCTCTTTTATTTACCAAGCTATATGCTTTTACATTCGCTAAGCGCTGAAGAGCAGCGCAGCTGACGTTGCTGAGCTCAAAGTCACTAGGTGAGAGCCTCCGTATTTCGCATGCAGTTTCTTGCGCGAGATCAATCGTATTGTTGTGTTTCAAAAGTCAGTCGACTTCCATGTTGTTAGACTCTAATAAGGTTTTGACCTACCTATTGCCCCTGTTACCCTGCTACTAGTGTTGCTCTTGTTACCTGTGCAACTAGTGTTACTCGCGTTGACGCTGTTACCAGTGTTACCAACGTTACCCATGTTACCAGCGTTACCCGCGTTGCTCGTGCTACTAGTGTTACTCGTGTTACCACTTTTACGCCACAATACAGTCTCATTTTGGAACGCAATATCACACTGGTAACACGAGTAATACTGGTAACGCTGGTAACATCAGTAACACTAGTAGCACGGATAGTGCAGGTAATGAATGCATGGCCAAGGCCTAAGCATGATGCAGGTGCTGACAAAACTTTGTTGCTGCTTTCAAGCAAGTTCCCACAAAATTCTTCCTTTTGATACTATACATACATGCTACCGTGCAAACTTGTGAGAAGGTTTCAAAATGGCAAGGGCTCTCCCATATAATGCCGTCGAACTCTCATAAACTTCTAACTTTTTCGAACAAAGGCCCGTAGTAAACCATTCACCCCCATTCATCCCAGGTGACTTGAGATGAATCGTTTAGACGAACTTCCTTGGGTGACCTTAATCCCGCCCACCTTCCCATGCTTTAGGATATTCAGTTGAACAGTCAGAAAAATGTCCGGTCAAGTGTCACAGACAGTTCACCAGAATGCCACTTATCCGAGGTTGAAAATTCGGGTGACCCGAGAGAAATAGTGTGCTTAAGGGGAGGATCAGACAAATTTCCCGTAAGTTGCTCGTGAGTAACTTACGGGACAATCTAGCCGACGTACTACTGCGGTGCAAAATTCCCAAGATTGCACAATTTCGGCGGCCTAAATGAGAAAGGATCAATGAACAGCTGATAGCGGAGAGAAAAGCAAAAAAGCAGGATTTCTCTTTTTTTCAGGGCGCGTAGTTTCTTTCTCAAAAACTGCTTCAAACAAGGATTTCTTGATTTGCTTCATTTGTTTTATGTTCGAACAATTTCGTTTTTTCGTGATATCTTTGTCAAAACATGACTGTTTTATTTTATCCATTTGTTTGCTTGGCAATATCCTTGATGGCGGTCGCCATCGATTTTTCTCGATGACGGCCACTATCAAAGGTTATCATGTGGTGGCACAAAAATTCGCCACTAGCCGGTTGCGAACCATGGACTTTCGCGTTGAAACCCTTTTACTTAGCCGTTCGACCAAACCGCTCAAGGGGATTCTTTCTTGAGAATGCACAAGATCTCTAGGACTAGAAAGTGATCCGCATCCTGATCAATAGCTCACTGGACGCCGGGCTGAGTCGTTCTACGTTCAACGTAGGCCCGCCCCAGCCGAGTTGGGCTGAACAGGGGTTTACTACGGGCCAAAGTTTTTTTAAAACCGTACCAACATTGTTTTAGCTCCTTTTCAATTTCACGAAAGACATTGTTTGCCACTGTCAAGCAAAATTTCTTCATCCATTTCCTCGATTTCTTGATTGTGTATTGGAAAATGGTATACTAAGGCTATTTCGTCGTTGAACTACCATTCTTGAAACAGAGAATGTCTCGTCCTTCCATCAAACTACTAACATGTTCTTGGGTGAGATGTAGATGGATTCGTGCTGCACATATTCCGACTAGTGTCAAACCAGGAGAGAAAATTGTTGCGAAAAAAGAGGTGAGCTTTTTCTTCTTTTGTAACTTCATGTGGGAGATACCTTTCTCACAGAAATTACTCTGTGAGCTTTATCACTTTCGAAAATGAATTTCAAACAGACCCAAAGTGCATCAAATCTTTGACGAAGTGGTAGATGACCTCATGTGACCTCATGCATAAAGCAACGCTCAAATCAAGTGCTTTGGCTATGATGCCCGTCCGACTTTTTTGACATTGCCAGAGATCAAAACCAGCATTTTTAGTGCATAGGATTTGAAAGGCACTTTCTCTTTGCTGTTGTAAGCAACGTGTTTTACTGTTTTCACCTAATAGAGACTTGCTGAGGAGGATACGAAATTATCGAACTGAACATATCGTCTGTGCCCCAGCGAATTTCCCAAATAAACGACTTCCCGCGCGCTCAGCTTGCTGCCATTCGCTCCGACATGTTAACTTCAGAAAATCCAAAGCGTTTAGTCTTAATGTTAAGTGAGGTGAATATCAAAATGAACAAAATTCTACAAATTTGATCATCGATTCCTAAGAGAAACTAGACCTAGAAATTACCTAGAAACTCAGTGGGGACAAACGTTAAGTAGAATTTTTACTTCGAAATCCTCTAAAGTAAGAACAGAAGAAAAAAGTTAATCAAACATTTATTCGCTCAAGTCTGATCTGTGTACATACAAAAGTTGAGTTCCGAAGATTTGGGAAGTGCGCACTGTACCTTTGAGTGATGTGTAGTCTTTGTTCGGAAATGTTCGCTTGAACTAACGCATAAAGTCGTTAAGCGCTATTTGAAGCGAATTACTGCTCTTCGCATGTTACTACAACCTGACAACCTGCATGGACCAGCTCAACAATCAGCTAAACCGGCAACGTTTGTTTGTATATTCAAGATTCTCTCCCTAGGTGCCTTGGTGGCGCATAGCCAATGGGAAGGCAGGCATGCGCGCCTTACGCATGCCTTAGGAATATGTCTGAGACGTTTTGCCTTTGGTCCCATGCTTTTAATAACAGCCTGGTATAAACTAAGCAGCATCCTATCCATGGCGCTCATTTGCGCAAATGATAGAATACAGTGGGAGTCGCTACGACATTTCGCAAAACCATCTTTCTGCTCAATCAGCTTTCTCATGTAGCGAACTTGGTGCACCCTTGTGTAGGGCGAAGCTTTGCCATGCGTTTGCATGCCCATATTCTGGCAAGAATTTTAATTAAGACAGACATGTTGAAATATTCTAGTTTGAAACCTTACGTCGAGGTGAACAGTAATCGATAGATGAAGTTAGCCATATTGCAGATGTTAAGATTTATGAAGGAATGTTTGATGAGCGTTGGCGTGGTAGAATCGCATGCAAGGCAACTAGCCGAGGTTGCCGTCGAAGCCGACATTCGCGGTCACTATAGCCATGGGCTGAATAGATTAGGTGGGATTCTAACGATAGCCTGGAATCTTCTTGCAGTTGAGATAAGCCGATTTTCGAGATTTCTTGCAGGTATGTACATCAACGATGTGGAAGGAAAGGCTTGCAATGTTGATGGTAACCCGAAAATACTCAAGGTTGCCAATTAAACAGCTGCATTGTTTCAATACTGTGCCCATATTAAGGAACGCTCTGCTTGTGCTTGGGTGGATGGCAATAACCTTTTGGGACCTGTAGTTGGCAATTTCTGCATGGACTTGGCAACAAAGAAGGCAAAAGAAGCAGGTGTGGGGTGGGTAGTTGCTAAAGGTTGGCAGCCAATCCAAGATTTTCCAAGATTCTAAAAGAGCATTTGTTCAGGTTCCAATCATTATGGGATTGCCGGCTGGTACGCGATGAAAGCAATGCAAAGAGGTGTCATTGTTGGTGTTAATGTTTGAAGTTGTGAGAAAGTCAAATTTTCTTTTCACGGATTACAGGGAATAACAATGACGAACACTTACCCGGTGACATATCCGACTAGGGCTGCTCAGCCGGCCATAGGCACAAATCCCATGGCAATCGGTGCTAATGGGACATCTGATGATTCGTACCTTTTAGATATGGCTACAACCACTGTAGCTTTGGGAAAGGTACGTTGTACAACTTTCGCTTTCAATACGAATGTATTTCGCGGATAGAGCATCAGCTCCTTTGTCTATGATGATGCTTTTCTGCGGCATGTAGGAACTGGGGACCAAAACACAATGGGTGCGTACAAGGTTCCTATACATCGCACTATCAGTGAGGTGCTGCTTGCGTCTTACAAGGAAAGGATACTTGTAAGACGCAAGCTGCACCTCACTGATAGTGCGATGTATAGGAGCCTTGTACGGCCATTTGAAATGCGATGTATACCATAAGGTGCGCCTCGAAACGCTGATTCTAAACCTGTGCTCGAAATATGCGAAACGATCATATAAGGGCAGTTATGAACTTTTTTCGTAGAAAATTTGCGTACTTTTAGGTAGTTAAAATCACCCAATCAATCTGCAAAGGTGGCTAATAATTCTCTCAATTGTGACCCTAGCTACAGCCACTCGCAATTGCTCACAATTCTCTCCGCGCCTAGATGCGATTCTTAACCCACCGTGTACGCAAATTCATTGAGGTTTTGATGCAATACGAAGCGGGCCACTAACTAATAAGGGGAAGATATCAAATCATGCTGGCAATGTGGAAAAAGATTCATAGCCTCAGGAGCGTTTAGATGCTGATTGCAAACCTGTTTTCCTTTTCCGCGAAACAGTTCTCCTGGAGAACGTATGAGGGCTTGTCTGTCTAAGTTGTTGTGTTTTTAGTGACAAAATACTTGAAAACATCTGCTCAGCTTTTCGATAGGTACACTTTCACGTACTGATACCAATTCAAATGCGCGCTTTGAGACTGACTGAATTTACAGTTGGTGGTACTCTATACTTGCAGTTTTGAACGCTCATAACTTCTTCTACAGAGTCGTTTCGCAGATAAGGAAGGCAGATCTATTTGGAACCAGCGTTGATAGCGCTCCTAAAAATGCAATTCTAACTTGTCACTGCTGCTTTCATCCTTGTAAGTGATTTCCAATTTCTGTTGCAGAAAGGTGAACGGCGAAGCGAGAAAATCGCTCCAAAATTTCAATACAAAGAGGTCATCACAATATTAAAGGCATTGTTTCAGCAAAACCGGCTTTCAGTGAGTACCCCCCTCCCTCCAACCAAAGCACTTCAGGTCCGCTTGGAAGATGAGACCCCCAAAGTCCCAAATACGGCCGCTTCCTAGCCCTTTCTGCCCTCTCCCCTACACCTGCGTGCACAAGCTTACAAGTTACGCGCGGTATCACAGGTTGCAGCTGCATATATTTGTCAGTAATACATCTCACAGTGCACCGCATTCAAATTATTCATTTTATGGATTAGTCGTCGGATTACTCATTTGCGTCTAATAGGGTTCAAAACGGGGGTTTTCGGGAATTTCACACAATTTGAAATTTAGATTTGGAATTGAGGCCATGAGAAGACACAAGGACGACAAGTGCAAGTAGAAATTTTATCCAGACGCTGCTTACAATGGCAGTGTCCCAGCGATCCAATACCGTGCTGACAATGGCACCTTCATGACCGTATCATTATTCTTGCTCAAAGGCAGCGTCCAGGCAAGTCAGGACACATGGGGATCTCACATGGATAGTAATTTTGTGGCCCTAACTAAGCCACTGCCCGACCGGCAGCTCAGTTAGTGCTCTAACGGCTGAGATATTCCCCTCAAAACTGGATCCCGCGATCGTATTTTGCATGGATTCGTGGCGCAATGCGTGTGTCCTGGCGCGAAACTGCTATGAATTCGTGCGAATACGATTGCGGGGTCCAGTTTCGAGGGGAATATCTCAGCCGTTGGAGCACCATCTGCGCTGCCGCTTGAGCAGAGCCTTAGTTAGGGCCCCAAAAGTACCTTCCATAAAATCCCCATAGGACCAGATCTGCCTGGACGCCGCCTTCAAGTACCGTACAAGTTCCATAAGCATGATCTGCTGTGATATAAGTTTTCTATAGCATCTCTTGCATGTAATATTACCTTGCCGCCTTCATAATTAGCATTCTACCACCTCCCGGATAAGATGACTGACGTAATGAATGATTTACCAATGTATGCATATTAGCAAATAATCTATCAAGGCGATAACTACGCCAAGGCCCCGGGCAGACTTCACGCGATTTGATCGTCGCGACTGAATCGCGACGAGACAACTGTTACAACATCATTCCATGCCGATCAACTTGCATTCGGTTGTGATACTTTTCCAGCCCGAAATTTTTGAATGTGAAATGAAAATGAATGGAAATCTTGGCGATTAGATCGCGACGATTAAGTCGCGCGAAGTCTGTCCGGGGCCTAAGGCAGCTTCAGCAACATTCGCCCGTACAGTTGTTATGCACCGGCTGGCGAGGCCAAATCTGTGCTTGCTAATAACAGAAGGTCGGAATCACGAAACAACGTTGATCCCTAAGCAAATGCATCGAGGAACTCGCGAAACTCGCAGAGGCGCAGAAATCGCGTGCCCTTATAAGGAAAATACCCTGATAGAAAATGACAGACTGATAGAGCGACACAAAGCCTGCATCTCCAAATGGATGTGTCTTTAAATTGCATACAAGAAGTCGCAGCAGACACACATCGGCTACAGTGAAGAATCGATATACTGGAGCGGAGAAAAATGATGAGGAAAATCATGGTGAAGAAACAGACGGTTAAAGAAAAGATCAAGTGTTTTCAAACTTTCTGCGGCAACGCGATTTTCACTCATGCATTGCTGGAGCACATAACGGATAGCAAAGAACATGTAGAAGACTTTTCACCTCACTACAGGTAAAGGAGGGCAGTAAGCAAAATTCTCAAACCAAAAATAGAAGGTTTCAAAATGCTTTCTCCATCAGCAGATCCTGTGAAGTGCATAGCCCAATAGCCGAATCTTGACAGAATTGCGGTAAAGCAGTCAGTTCAAATTTTGAAGCAAACGGTCAAAGCATGCAGCAGTAAAAGGGGAAGTATCTTTAAATATCAAGCGATAGAATTGATACTCGTTATAGTGAGGACAAGAATCTGGATCGAAAATATCTCTGCAGGCCATACCACCTGCAGCTACTAGAGAAGTCAAAACACCAGCTGCATCAAAAGATTTCACGCAGCTAGACGCAACAACACTGAGGCTCACAAATTAAAAGAAGACAAAGAGCAAATGAATTCATGGTGATTATTAATCACAACGACAATCCCAAAATGATGAACCCAACGAAATCCGAGAAATTAAGATTGACTCGATTTTACAGGCCAAGAATAGTTGCACCAGTCAGCGTGTCGTCAACAACGCATATGATGATAATGAGGTGCTGTTGCAGACACAGTTCACTATTCCTGGTCTGCTGGTCTGTCAAGAATGGAAGTAGGGGACAAACAGAAAAGCATACAAAACCACCAACTATCTGCACAAACCATTAGTTCCCAAAAGCGTTTCAAGGAAATAGTACACTTCGTGTAATTTCCTCAATTCTTCTACTAGGTTGGCACAAGTTTTCCAACTTGTCTCGCAAGTTTTCTCTTTTCGACTATGACGCATTTGTTATTGTGCATAATGTAATATAGGTAGTAGGCTACAAACTGAAACAGTTTGACTTTTGATAGCGAAGTGAAGAGAATTCACGCATGTTTTGAAAGCTGGTCAAATTCGAGGTTTCAGGGGTCGGAAAACCAAAATTAAAGACGTTTGTGAATTACACAAATCAAGCTGAAACTGTACCCAGATGACAGAGGAATCCTTAATGATCTACACAGTTACGGCTTAATTTGTTTGATTCATACCGAGAACGGCTTTATTTTTGGTTTTCCCACCTCTGAAATTTCGAATCTGAACAGCTTTCGAAAAGCGCGTAATTTTTTCCACTTCGCCAACAAAAATCAAACTGTTTGCGCAGGTTTGTAGTCTACTATCTTCTCTACATCATGCCCAAAAATGAATGCGTCATATTCAAAAAGGGAAAAGTTATGAGATAAGTTGCAAAACTTATGTGTCAACCTATTACAAATTTACTCCCAGCGATACTTTGACCTCAGCCTGCCTTGCGAGATATCACAAGACATGGCGGCTGCTTCGCTTTGCTTAATTAACAACCATGACGCAGATGACACACGCTGAACTCATCTGCAGGCACTGCTAGACCCAGAAAAAAAAAGAATATCTGTGATGTGAGTATCTCTACGGTATCTTCATGTTATATTACCTTGCCATGCCTATCATGGCTCTCATGCGGGCAAGTTGACTGACTTAGTATCTGTTTGGCTAGTTTACTGTACACGTCAGCATTTTCCAGAACGACAACTACGCCTGAGGCGAGGTCAACTACGTTCCGCACATCGACTTTTCAATGAGAGAACTCGGATTCGAGATCCAGGCCTGGCGGAGAGACCGTCACCGGGCGTTCACCTATTTTCTAAAATGAAGCTGAGTTTGATGGGGAAGTCGGAAAGTTCCTTCATACTATCTACTACAGCAGCCTGCCGCAGCCTGCGGCGAAGTTGTATCACACCAAGTTTTTTCCCAATGATTCGGTAGGAAGCTACGCTCGAACCGTTCTCGTGGGTGCGCAGCAAATTTTGTAGCTCATGACGCTCTTTTTGGCTTAGTACAGACAATGAAATATAATGCGCTGAAATGCAATGACCTCATACAGCCCATATGGCTACTGTCAAATGTGCCTGCCAATGATACCGCTGTCCTTCTTTTTCAAACACTTTTCGTCGCTGTATCGCTTATTAAAAATAAGTAATATTTGAGATGGTTAAGATGAACATACTACTGCACCAATAACCCTAATGTAAAGTATTCCAGTTTGAAATCGCAAAACGTCGCTGCGAAAAAGTGCCTGCAACATGGGGCGTCGCCAAAGGAGGGAAACCTACTACAGATCCAGACAAGGTTTTGTCTGGTGGTGGGCTTCTTCCTTTGGGAGGAAACGAAATCACTGGTAAGCTTTGTTCTAGATACATGAAATAACAAGGTAGGATTTCTGCAACTTTTGCGTAGCCAAAAAAAGAGAGAACATCTTCGATGCTTGCATCAGTAAACGTGATGAACATCTCTAGGAGCATGTGTTATTATCAGGGTTGAGCGCGGGGTCAGGCCTGGGGATCGTATTGAGAGTAAGATTGAGGGGGGGGGTTGTAATTAAGAATCGAATTTGTTAAGTTGGGGAGATACTGCGAAGGTGAAGAAGAAATGCGCTAGTCCGGTGGATATCGCGATCACATAAAGGAATGACGCTCATAAACAGCATACTACTTGTTTCCATAATGGAACTTTCAGCCAAATGCAAATATTCATCTTTTACCTTGACATATGAGGTCGACAAGAAAGCTTGCTGTGTGAAATGGGTATCATTTCCATATTCAGCATGTCAAATTACCTCTATGGCATAGGTGCGATAGGGGGAGCCGGGCTCTCCCCAGGTGAAGGGGGTCTCGGCTGTTCCCGACCTTCCAGGGTGAAGGGGGTATGTGAGTCTAGGGAGGGGGGGGGGGGGGAGGAAGAGAGAAAAGGTAAAAAAGCGTGCTATGAAGAGCTCTAATTTGTACCTTATTTAGGCACAAATTGAAAAAAAATTTAAAAATTTTCAAAAGAAATTTAAAAATTTAAAAAAAATTGATTATGAAGATCTGTGCTCCTGTTTCACTGCATCAACAAAAAACGAAAGCAACAATGTTTATCCCAAAAGATGTACAAGTTAGGAACAACTTCATTTCCTGCACATCATCATCAACAATATCACTATCGCTAACGTCAGAGACAACAAGTTCGCTGCCTGAAAAATCTTCTTCTTTCTCCAAAAGGTCATCGGAGTAGAAGCAGAATTGCGTGCAAAAGCGTTCTGAGTCGAAAATGGATTTAAAACTTTCTTCTTCTTCTAAGCGCTTTTGTGATTTTTTTCCTGGCCCTCTGGTAGCACCAGGAAGTCAGCAGGTAGGTGACCAGTTTCTTCATACCATCTTTAAGGATATCTCAAAAAGTCATACGGTAACAACCTGTCTGGACCATTTATACCAATCCTTTAAATGAAGTTTTTAGATAACAATGTGTTTAGTAGAAGGTTGACAAATCTTAAGTATTTGCTTAGATGCTCTATCGTTGTACGACTTCTGCGTTGTGTTCTGATAACAGAGTAGATAGAAAATCTTTCTCCACCTCTGCCGTGCTAGTCGGAATGGAAACTAGCTTTGCTAGTAGGTCCATCAGATTTTTGCGGTAAGTAATGGGAAAAGAGCCAGATCTCATATGCTGTCGCAGCACGGGAAGGATATAGTGCATACTTTTTGGGCCTTGTCGAACTCTGGCTTCACCTCCTCTGGCATACGTCCTGTTAGCTGATTAGAAAGCTGCTCAACTTCTTCTTTAACAGCATCTGCGGATTAGCCGAAAAAAGGAGGTACTATGCTGCGCGTTGGTTTTTTCAATATCATAGGTCATATTGTCACAAGGCGGATAACTTTCAAAAGCATAAAGCACAGAGTTGAGTTCGCACTCCAGCCGGGATCTAAGTGCAGCAACTTGCTTGTGCTAACACCTTCCTTTTGTTCATATCCATGGTTGTGAATTTAGCAGCTTTGAATTCTTCAGCAACCTGAAGATCAGCAATGGACTTCCTGGACAATTCCTCATTGAAACTAGACAATCTGCTTGGATTCCTCATGCAGGAAATCAGAGAGTTTCGCTCAACTGCCAACTCTGTATCAATGTCGACAACATTTTCGTCGGCGTAAGATTCTCCTTCTGCCTCGCTGTTGAACTGGAACACATGCGAGTCATCTGCGATTTTGTAAAGTATTCTGCCTGCCGTTTCCTCTTCAAACTGCCAACCTTTCCAAAACATTGAGAAATATTTTAATAACATGTTATTCTTCTGAATGTCTTAGAGTTTTTGATTCATTGAAACCAATCATTCTCTACAAATTAAGTAAGGTGAGTCTAGAGCGTTTTCACGAATGTGACTTTCTTCAGCACTAGGTTTACAGAGTATAGATTCCAGAAATGGGCGGATTTTTGTGTGAAGGTGTGGAAATTCACCTATCTCCCATAGTTTTTTTGAGTGTGTGCTAATAATGATAGCATAACTGTCAATCAAAAGCGCATTTTTTACCAAAAAAAACATAAACATATAACAACGATAAGCACGCTCAAATAGACGCATTCGCTCACGTTCCCGCTAGTGCTGATAACGATGTCAATCCACAGCACATTTTTTACTATTAACTTGCTCCACCTCGCTCTTATTAGGTGAATCAATCATGAATTTCAAAAATCATAACTTCTGATTTTTCCAACCGATTTGACTGCTTTCACCTTTATGTGAAAGGGTAAGTCATGCTCTTTATAATGACATCTCAGCTGCTCAGTAATGGTCATCTGTTGCATAGATAGGAGCGATAGAAAAAAAAATGGTAAAAATTTTAATTTTCTGTGTAGGGTCATAAAAAATCGGAGACTTGCAACAAAAATCGGAGCAGTCGGTACTGTAGGTTTTTTCACCGGCTCTTTCTAACAGTGCAAAGTTTGCGCTGATTGAGCTCTCCATGAAAAGTTATGATTTCCCTGAAAAATGCCAAAATAAATCAAATTCGCTTTTTTATTGCTTGCTCGGAAATCATAACTTTTCATGGAGACGCTCAATCGGGCAAACTTTGCACTGTTAGAAAGAGCTGGTAAAAGAACCTACAATACCGACTGCTCCGATTTTTGTTGCAAGTTTCTGATTTTTTGTGACCCTACACAAAAAGTCAAATTTTGAGTGATTTTGGTTTTGAGCTTCTATCTATGCAACAGATGACCATTACTAAGCAGCTGAGATGTCGTTATAAAGAGCATGACTTACCCTTTCACATAAAAGTGAAAGCAGTCACATCGGTTGAAAAAATCAGAAGTTATGAATTTTGAAAATCATGTGCAAAAACTTTCGGGACGATCCATACAATGTGTTGGCTTTTACGGGTCACCGAAGCAAATGATTTTTAGAGCCGGGAAGCAAAGAAGCCCTAACATGCTGTATACCATTCGAAAGCTGAGATCATGGAGAATCGACGTAGGCCGTCGACTTTTTTCTAGGTCTTCTGTGCCGCGAGATATGAGGAATTTTATGTGCTTCAAAAATTGACTGATTTTGTGTCCTCACTTTCTGCTCTCCAAATGAATGCTACGAGAAAGTCGACGGTCTACGTTTGTTAATGAAGACTTGCTCTTCAACACAGATAGATAATCAGCAGTGATTAGGTCTTCATTTGGCAGAAATCTGCTGTTGAAAATGACCATGTTTTCAGATAAAATGCGGTGTATCTCTCGGTAGAGGGGGGCTGGAAAGAAGTCGACGGTCTAGGTCGAATCCCCTTTTCCTGAGCTTTCGAATGGTATATAGGTTGCTGGGCGAAAAAACTAACCAGTTTTCAAAAATGGGGTGGAGATATTTACTATTAGCTTGCTCCAACCCGGCTCCACCAATGTATTGGCTTTTATCGGTTACCGGAGCAAATGATTTTTAGAGCCGGGAAGCAAAGAAGCCCTAACATGCTGTATACCATTCGAAAGCTGAGATCATGGAGAATCGACGTAGGCCGTCGACTTTTTTCTAGGTCTTCTGTGCCGCGAGATATGAGGAATTTTATGTGCTTCAAAAATTAACTGATTTTGTGTACTCACTTTCTGCTCTCCAAAATGCTTCGAGGATAAATAAATAATATAAATAAAGATAAATACCGTTTCTTTAGTAAATTTATGAGTGTACTTGTTGTTTGAGGTACTTAGCCTGCTTTTCGTAACGATTTTTATCATATTCTCAGAGTACAATACCAATCTCAGCCCAGGTGAAGGGGGTCATCGGGAGTTTGGCCTCAAAGTGAAGGGGGTAAGATCCATCACTCCCCCTATCGCAACTATGCTCTATGCGCTCTACAAACCGCTCTACAACTACTTACCTACTGCAGTTTCTAGTGTTTCTCGACGTCTAAAAAGCGTGATTTTCAAACGTGATCAACCTAGTTTCAGAAGTGAGAAAAGTCAGTTTTTGTAACTCATAACGAAGTAATGTTCTCTACAAGTCTATGCTACAAATTGGGCTTCATATCGCTTTCAAACTGTGAAGTAAGGAGTGCTGCCAAAATTCAACCGGCGCGTTTTTCACGTTGAGTGCTTCAACTCCTCGGATTAGCACAAGGCCGAAACAAGTCGAATCAAGCTCAAACACTTACTGTGGGATCTTCGAGGGTTGAGCTAGCATATCGCATAAAACTTGGGTAGAAAAGCTTTTTTGGAAATAAAGTTAATGGGGGTCAGGCGCAACTCCTCAAAAGCTCAGGCCTCCTGAGCTTTTGAGGAGTTGCGCCCGACCTTCTTAAATTGCCTTCAAAACTCAAAAATCGCCCCTTTTTTGATACGAGTAATGAGCCAAAGCCTCTTCTTGCTTTATTGAAAGTTTGGAGCCAAACACTCCACCTTTGTGAAAATTATAGCTCTAAAAGAGGACTATCCAGACCTAAAACTTGCCGTCAAGTTGCGTGTTGTTGTGCTATCGCAGAAAATCGGGCCTACAAACTTTCAGGAAATAGAAACCTGCAGTGAATGCTTGTCTTCTTCAAAATAGAACACTCTGAGGACTTCGAGGTGAAGCGGAGGGTCGTTTAGGGGATTTCACAAGGGGGGGGGGTCGTTTTTGAAGGACTTGTTTCTGACCTCTTGCTCAACCCTGGTTATCATCTATTCAAGGACCAGGAGACGCGCGACTGCATTGCCAATCTTCTACAAACGATCTTGTTTTGAGCTAGTCCAATTGATTAGCCATAATTTTTGATCCCACCTTGTAAATTCGTATCAGTACATCAGCGCATCAAGGAAAAAAGTAATAATAAATTTTGCGCTGCCAGAAAGCCTATCTCTCTTGACACGGGAACGCAGGCAACAGTGGCGGACCGAGGGGGGAGAGGAATGAGTTCTGGAATTTTTAGAAATTACTTACATGAGTATTATATTAGGTTGTCTCATAATTAATGCACGTTTTATGAATTTCAACTTCTAATCAAGATAACTCTTTTCCCAAACCATTTTTTGAGCGCAATAAATATGTGCAAACAACAAAGCTTTGACTATAGAATGCATGCTTTTGTTGGATCGCAGCCACTTTAAGAAAGATTTTATAGCCTAAAAAATTCCCGAAAATTTTTTTAGAAACCTATATCTGAGAGAGCTTAACTATCGCTCAAATGTACTAGGATCGCGTGAACTTTGCTCATTATATCGCCGATGGTCGGTTGTGCAATGGAGTCAAGTTTGAATTTTAGCATATTTCTGTGAGAAAATTTTGCAAAAACTGGAAGTATCCATTTTTTTCAGTATTTTGGAAGATACAAAAAATTGCTTTTTTGGGATTTTTTGAATATTTTCTCTTCGATAAGATGATGAAATGCTGCGTTTTTTCTAGCATTGGTTGTACTAGGTTTTCTTATGTGTACATAGCGAACTTCATACAGTTGCTTTTTTCTTGAGGTTTTTATGCAGCTTAAATAGGCCTCAACGACCAGCCAAGTTTGAGACAAGATTTCACAACTCGGAATTTTTCGAAAATCCCATACAGACAAGCGTTTTGTAGCACAAAGCTTCAAGATCGTGATGCATATTTTTAAAAGAAAATTCGTCTACTTTTCATAGATTTGGAGCAAGGAGAGTGAAGGGAAAAAATTCTAAAATTTTAATCGCTTGTCTTTGAAGGCATGGAACTTCGGCTTCAACAAAGATTTGCGGAAACGAAAACACATATTAGAAACTACAGGAATCAGGCTTTCCGATACTATAAAGGGTCTTGAAGAAAAATGTTTTTTCTTTGAAAATCAGCTCTCTCAAAAAGAGGTTAGAAAAACGTGCATTAATTATGAGACAACCTAATATATTGTTATTATATAAGGATGAAATAATCTTCAAATTTTTTGAAAATATGGCTTCGCGGAAAGAAATTGTGGGGGGGGGGGGGGTGCCATCATGCCCCTCTTTTAATTTTCGAGGTTATGGGACCACGAAAATCCTGAGAAGGACACCAAAATTTGTTTCGGAGCGTGTGGCTGACTTTACATTAATTTGACGAAGTTTTCGTCCCCTTCCCCCACCCCTCCTAAGCCCGCCCACTCCAATGAAGATCCTGAAACGTTATTGGCAGGCACTGTATATAACAACCAAAATTAGCATTGGAATCATTCCTTGAATGCTATAATTTTCCACCATAAAAACAATGTTATTCACTGCTCCAAGATGAGATAATGTAAAAACATTAACTCTAATATAGTTGCCACTTTGAAGAAGGTTAAGAATTGTATGCTTTGCTTACACACCGTAAAACGCTTACAAACACTCGGTTGTGACCATGTCAGTAATGTTTGGCTGAATGAAGAGAAATACTTTTTTTTTGTTGGAGGAAGTTTTCGCATGATATTCAGTCTTTTTCTCTCATAAGTTCTGTTACATTCATTGTAAACACAAAGGCGTCAAATATATCCTAGATTCCAATTTCGAATGCACGCATAATTATTGAAAAACTGCAATTTTTGACCGCAACAAGCGAAGTATTTTGAGTGGAGCAGTGCATCCGCATCGCTGGAGACTTTGCGAGCGCACAGCGCTGGCACTTTGCCAAGCAAAAACTGAGAAAAACGAAGAACGCAGACATGGGTTCTTAGCACGACATGATCTACTGTAGCAATGAAAAGACGCGAACCGTTGCAGAGCGGTTGCCCGCCAATCCAATCTCCGCCTAAATTGAGATGAAATTTACTATGCCATAATGGCTGCCCTGAGACGATTATTTCCTGCCTTTATGATTAGCGCTAAGCTAAACGGAGCTGCAAACATTTGTTCAAGCTCAGGTTGCACTGCGTTGGTTAGGCTACACATACTAATCCGGAAGTTCTGGAACAGTTCCAGCACAGCGCTCAGTAAAGAAAATGGAAATGGCTGAAATTGTTCTCGAGCTTCGGGACCAGTATGCGCGCATCTTAAATTGGCTGCAGGACAGCGGAAGCTGACTGATTTCTGAGCCCTCTTATCTTACTTTCTCACACTCGAAGTATACGTGTAAATTCAGCAATGTTCTTGCTTCAGAACTCATCATTTATTGCAAAATCTCGTTATCCCGACAGAATTAGGCAAAATCCGAAAGCGAAATAATCGCCTTTAACTCCATTCATTTTTTTCATTTAGTAGACTTCGACTAACCCGGACTGAAACTCAGTCGATTCATATGTAACTCAATGCTCAACAACTGTTTGGCAAGTAAGAGTTCCACTGAGACATCGCTAGTAAGAGTTGCGGGTTGCCGCGCTGTGTGCAGACCTCACAATTACGAAGGACTCCGCATACATTTCATAGAGAATGGCCCCTCGAGTTCAAAGTTTCTCTTGTATAAAATAATCTCCCACGAATTCACTCCGACTCCAAAACCGTTTTTCGAACATTGAAGAAATATTCCTGTTTGCCAACTATGTATACCTTTTGACAGGTGGTTACAAGGGCTATGACGTCTGTTGCGCTGTGGAGCTTCTTTGTGGAATATTGGGAGGGGCATTGTGGGGTCCCAACATTCGAAATATGTATGAAAGCAGAGCCGCTGACCTTGTGAGTTTCAAGTTTTTTTTTTCGTTGTCTGTGAAAGTAAAGTTGAGGGGCAATGCTTTATTGCTATTGATCCAGAAGCCTTCGCTCCAGGATTCCATGATAGACTCCAGGAATTTATAAATGCCTTGAGGGGACTCAAAAAAGTGAGTTTTCGGAATTGTTAGAGAATGTGTGCCGTGCCACCGGATGCCAATCATAATCTATTTGTAGGAAAATGAGCGCTTGAAAGTTGAAGTTGCCGGTGATCCAGAGAAGAAACATGAAAAATTGGTTGCACATATCGGGGGCATACCATACCACCCAAATCAAATTGAAAATGCCGTAAGCTTTTTGCAGTAAATATATGGCTTGCAAATACCCGGTACTGTAGGCGAAAATCGCTGAAAGACTCAAAGTGAAGAAGGTGCACGTTCTGAAGGAGATTTTTGCCAATTATGATGATTGCTCAATGTAGAAAAAGGAAAAAGAAACATTCCACGATTAGCAAGAAATTTTTCATAATTTTTGATTTACATCACTCATAAATTTCCGTAAGCAAGTTATTCGATAGTTTTCTCCATTAAGGGTTAACGCATTACAACGACTGTCTAAGTACCTTCATGCACTCCGCGTCACTATCATCTGTTACAGTTACATCACTGTTCTTTTTGTTTGGACAATGCTGTCTATATAAGCTCGTTTGTTTAAAAATTAAATTCCATCATCAATTGGTCGTTGCATATGCAAGAGGTGTGCACTGAGTTGACTCGGAACTTATTGCTAATAGCTTACATTACTGAGAAGATTTGCAGCTATCCTAAACTTGAATAGGTTTTACTGGGTGTATGTCAAGAGGCGCGGTCTTTATTGCCAAGTAGCAAATAATAAGTGTTTTATAACAGTCTAAAAGTATTTGAATTTCAAAAGAAGATATATTGGATAGGTTCAGGTGTTGTTCCATCTTCCTGCCTTGGAAACAATTCAAAACAGCTATTTGAAGGTTAGAAACCCTTGAAAATGCAGATGAAGACAAATTCGTAAATATTTTGTTTGTTTTGCTGAAAAAGCCAACAAACTCAACTATAACTCAGCTATACTATAGTGGACAGCACCATACTAGAGTATACTAGAGTTTTGAGTTGTTGACAGACTAAAAAACCGCGCCTCTTGACAGTCTCCCTGTTTTACTTGCTATCTGAGAATGCAAAAAGTTATGGTATCATAGAAAACATACGCTTTCTCACTTCTAAAAACATTTTTGCAAATAGTATCGCAAAGAGGAGCGAGCTCTGCAATAATTACGAGGAATATTTTTTGACAATTTTGGCACGATTAAAAGTATTGGAGCCGGGCCAAGCCTAGAAGCATGCTGTACTCCATTTTGGGGCAGAACTACGCGTGGAAGTAAGCCTCACAAACACACTCGCTCCCTCCAAATACAAGTTAGTGCATAGTGTTGGCATGTTCTTACGTGTTACAAGATCGATCGAAATTCGACTGGACTCAAATGAAAGGCTTGTCACAGCTAGGGGACAACAAACCACTTTGATCACATGGCAAAAGATTACTTCCGACATTATCGAAAAAGGAAGTTAGGAGAATTATTCGGATTAATAGCACCATAACGACTGGAAAGTCGTAAAGTGTATATCTTCGCGAGTTCATAATTTCTAAAATTCTCTACTCTGCCGTCTTGCTTGTCAATAGCCCATCTTCCCTTGAAAAATCCTTTGTCTTACAGGGGAAGGATACTTGGATGCCGTAGCCATTCATAATGATTTGTATACCAGAAAAAGCGCTTTTGAATGCTGGTTCGTATAATGTTTTTCATATCTGCGAAACGATAATCTGAATGGAGTTATGATTTTTTTACATTAAAAAAATTGCGTTCCTGCGGAGGGTCAAAATCATCAATAAAAAAATTTTCTCTCCTTTCCAAATGCTGTTATGATCCAGAAAGTCTAAATAAATATTACTACGTCTGAAATTTTCTTCAGTAGCATCAAACGGTAGGCTAGATCAAATCTGGTGATTCTTACTATCCAAAAGTAGGCTAAATTTTCAAGGAGAAAAATTCATAACTTTCTTCAAAAGATCGTTTCGCAGATTTCGAGCACAGATTCAGAATCTGCATTCGAACGCGCATTTTTTGGTACACAAATCATTAGAAATGGCCGCGGCATCCAACTATCCTTCCCTTGTTAGCATTAAGTTAGCCAGTGCAAAGTAGCGATCGGAGCGCCCACGTTGTTCGCTCCATTTCTATATTGGCCGTTGATATTTGCCTAATTAGCTTTTGATCATATCTATGATATAGAGTTGGAACCGCAATGGTGAAAGGTTGTTCAAAAGAATTTTCAGAAAGAAAGAGATAGATAGATTAACAAAAACCAAAAAAATGTTCTATCCGGGTAAAAACGCTACAATAACTCTGGCAATGAGATCTATCTTTTGGCGACAGCTCAAATCAGGTTTTCGCTTCAGAAGTCGTCGCTTCAGAACTCGGAAAACGGTGGAAAGCAGATTTTCCTTCTGCAATCGCCTCAAAATAAGGCGTTACAGAAGTGGTAATTGTCATGAGAAATAAAAATTGACTATGAAAACGAAAAGTTTTGATTCCTTGAAATGGAACTTCACATCAAAACCAGTCTATTTTTTGATGCATTCTTGAAATTTTACCCCTCTTGTCGTTTGCTTTTCCGGTGACGTTGTCAGCCTCGTTTTCCCAGCTATGCTAAACAAAAAAATTTTTAGCATAAAAGAAATGATTGCGTACTTATTCCAGAACAGAATTTTGGAGAAAAACGCACTTTAGCAACTTTCAAATGAAAATTTCGCCGCAGAAGAAGAAATATGTTAGGCTTGGCCATGTCGTATCGTAGAAAAAAGTAAGATCTATCAAATGCATGAGATTTTTCGTTCAAATAAAAAGAACGAATGCTGGCGGCGTTGTCAGCAAATAACTAGACATCGAGAGCTGCAATGTGATATACGATCTGCCAGGACTGAATATGGAACAAGCTCTACAAAGAGGCCGTTTTTCGGTTGCTGGAATGTTTTTCTATGACCCACTTTACTCGTTTCGTTCAGAACAGTTTGTTAAAACCACAACAACCTTTCTGATATTGTTGTAAACTTAGCACCCGGGGTTTCGCTCTAAATGCTTTCTGTTTTTTGAGTGAAGGGTGTGCTTTGTTCTCCAAACACGAACGTATACCGTACGCCTCTAGTTCTTCCTGAAGCATCAATCATCGATTACTGTACAATCCGCGCTTCTATAGCTGGGCTTTACCACGAGTGAATAACATAGCCGTTCGGGCAATGTCATTAATGCGTTCCAAACACTAATAAAGGTCATCCATTAACTCCGAGGAAAGATATCCATTGACTCTGAGCGTCAACTTTGCTTGGGTAGCCAGCATGTGCACTCGTTCAGCATTTTTTGACACATTGTTGATAGTAGCTTTAGAATATTGAAAACCCTCCGTCTTATAAGAACTGATGTAACAACTTCTTTGCTATTTGGAAAGATCGCTGAAGCACATACTGTATTTGGTGCAAGCCAGTTGCAATAATTTGGTTTTCCAGCGACCTTTGTGGGAGCCAATCCGAGTGTTATCCCTTCAGCTCATTGTAAGTAAAGCAAATTTTGCCGAAGGAAATCGCTGCAGGAGGAGCTTGATTTACTCTCTTCAAGAAGAGTGAACAGTAAGCTGTTGATGTCAAGAGCAGCTATGTAAATTTGTAAAGGGGAGAATTTAGGTTCTATCAGACATTTTCCGTTATAAGAAATTCATCCAAACCGGTTTTAACTTTTATGCATGAAGACAATGCGATGGGTCTTATTTTTCCAAGAGACAATCATCTAAAAAATTTTTTGGCCACAGTATTGATACAGGGTAGAGCACTTACACCCACTGTATGTTAAATCAGCCGGCGACGCAGTAAGATCTCCGTTAAGCTCGTCAAAAGATTTGGTAGTATGGAATAACATGTTATCATATCTGCCTCTTTAGCAGTGGCATTGCGGAGATGAGGTGGTAATTTGGGTTTTTCTTGCAAAAAAATTATAACGCACGATAAAGGAGCATGACTGATCAAGTAAGAAAGCGCACTTTGTAGCGAAACGCAATATGGCATGTTACCAAGAAATCCTTCTCCGCACGGATGCTCAGTTGGAACCAAACCAGTTTAATTTGTACAGCATATTGAAAATTACATATGTATAAGATATTAAAAATCACACTGATAGCATCCTGTAGCCCTTTCGACTATTCAAATGTTTTCGGAGCATGCGCGTATTGCAGTACGCTAATCCTTTGTCCGGTAAGCGTTTATGGGAGTTTCTATGAGTAAATTTTTATCTTCATTCTTCTGACATAATCTCCAAACCTTGAAACTGATACATCAGTGCACAGTACAACCAAAATTCTCAGTAGGCTTCCCAGTAGCTTTAAAAGTTACAGGAAGGCAACATAACATCTAGCACATTCATTTACAATCCTTTGTTGTAAAATAAGCAGTCTGACTTGGTTTTTGATTGAATTTCTGGTTCCAGGGCGCTCGTGAGAATCTAAGTACGTTCAATGTCTGTTTTGACTCTCGAACCATTTTGATACGAAAAAAGCTTACGGGACTCTCCTGCGGAAATAGAGCCAAAGCTAGAGGAAGACTGAAAGCAAACGAAAGTGTGCAGACGATGGCATTGACAAATAGATGGCGGTAAGGAGAGCCGATAACCCATTTGTATCTGGAAAAAATATAGATCAAAGCTGACATTGCATGAAAAAGTCTTTTAATTGAATAAGGGCAAAGACAGACCTCTCAAGAAATGGCATAATGCATGGAGGTGCCAGCAACATTGGTATAGGCAAAAATGCCCTGACTTTTGTCGTATCGCTTACAGCCTACAGAGTAGAGATATAATATTAGTACTTTCATAAGATTGTAGATTAGAAACCTGCTTAGCAGCGACTTTCGATACTCCTACTACTTTTCCTCCTTTTTCGTAAACTTCTATTCCTGTTCGGAGTTCATTCCATCGCATACAAAGCACATTGACAGCGGATGCCATTGAGACAGCGGGAAGAGGGACGAAACGCTTCAAACATAACCATCCATTCGTTAATCGTTACTGAAGCGCAAAGCAAAAGCATCATACTGCATTTTACTGAAGCAGTACTAAAATCCGACCGACCTGAACAATTAGCTGCGTGGAGCGCGGCAAGGATTTGCTTTGCTTTATGAGATAAGTCAGAGCTAAATACACAGAAATGAACTGCTCCTTTTGCAGATGAAAGAACTAGATTTGTTCTTTTACCTGCTGAAATGGAACATGCAGCAGTGACAGCAGCGCAGTAAGCGCCTATATAGGTGGATAGGGGTTGAGGCTGAATAAATATTCTTCCAATCGGATAGGATGAGTGAAATACAAGATAACTGTTGTAAGTAGTCGTCATTATAAGTTGAACATACTATCACCGATCACAGCAATTGTGACATTTGCAGGAATTTACAAAATTATTTTTGGTTCCCAACTTGGCAGCAGCGGAGAACTTCTTGAAATCAACACAAAAAACTCGTTCGCTTTGCCAATAGCTCGAAACATTATGCTTTCGTATAGGTAACTTGCATATAAATCAATGTTTCTGAAAATCTGTTTGTACATACTACAGAAAAAAGGCTACCGCTGCCCTTCTGCTAGTCAAACCTACATTTGAAGAATGTTAGAAAAGTGGTTGAGTTTACTATTTAGTAGTGCCACAAAAAAGCGCTTTGTCCTGTCGGATTTGTTGTTTTTTTTTCGTCTTTTTGCCTGCCTGTAGCATTGCTTTTGTTTACATACCGGGAGTATCTGAGGCAACCAAATTCGATTCTGATCTTCGCTGAACTTCTACTGTGAAGGTGCGCTCCAGTGCGAAAGAAAATAGGGTGGAGTGTGCCAAAGCTCTGGCTTTCACCGGTATGGGTGATTCAATTAGAGCTGCTCACCGAGTAAGAAAGCGCGACGAACGTACTGCAAGCGCTTCAGATGAGAGAGTTGAGCACGTTCTTTTACGCAAAGAGATGTGATGTGAGGGACATTTTCTATCGCGCTCCAAAACAACTAGACTTTATTGCCTAGTTGCCATAAAAAGGGTAAATTAGTGTTTTTTATCCCGCAGTCTCTTCAGTGTGAAGATCATTTTCTATTATCGATAATAGGGAAAAAGTGTACTAACAATAAAACGCGCCCCATTTTTGGATATCCAATACTATGTGATAAACCGTCCAAAAAATCGAACGAAGATGTGGCAGAGAAACTTTGATATGCTTTTTATTAACGATAATTAACGAACCAGTGATCACTAATTACCTGTGTTGCATTTCTATTAGCGTAATTGACGCAAGCATTGTGCGATTGATTCAGCCATTGCCAGAACAGCAGCGTGGGCCACGAAGGATTCGGCAAAAGCATTCCTGTCACCTGGTTTATTTTCAGCGTTATATGATGGAGAAGGTTTCGAGAACATACTATACTGAAGTACTTTTTCACAATTTTCATTAAATTCCACTCACAGTGATCCATCCAAACGGAACGAATCCACTCATTCGAAATGGAGGTAAGACCTTCTCCCCTGTGTCTGGATGCAAGATGGCTTGTTTTATTTGTTGTGCTCTCCAAAGAGTCTTGTCAGAAGCTTTCGCCGATCCACGCTTGAAATCGTCGAGCAACTGGACACATTCCCGAAGGCGCTTCTTCAGAAGTCACAGTGCACCAGATTTCGAGAAAATTAGGAATTTGAACTCACGTCTGATACGAATAGCGTGCTTGGGTCGATGACATCTAGGTAGTGTAAGTATCTGAAATGTCACATTCATATAGACATCGTCAATTGTTTTGTCTCTTAGGGCCGTATGCATGTAATCTACCAGAAAATGTTAGGCGAGTGTTAGACACAATTCCGTTGACTTCTTCAGAACATTTGCTTTTCCAAAAGAGCACCGCTGGCACAGGAAATTAAAGTCCCAAAAGCAATTAGCGTTTTTTACTGTAAGTTAGGAATGCCTAAGATGCACAAGCAAATAACATTCGCGACATTCAGATCAGAACTCCAGCTTTCCATCCAGCTCCACTTCCTCTCGCAGAGGATATTCACAAATGCGGCCCAAATGCGTTTTATAAAATTTCATACCTCCCTAAGAATGTTTCCTGAGGAAATCGCGGTTGGTTTAGCCGAAAAGGGGGATATTTAGGAAAGCCCAGCACTGTCTGTGTCGCCTCTGTCGACATCTCGGCTTTCTGTAAAATTTCACATAGCAGCATAGGTCAAAATAACGAAGTGCCAATAAAATGCGACATACAAGAGTATTAGGTCGTTTCGATGGTAATTTGGTCTTTTATTAACAAGCGCAACATTTCGCAGAACAATGATCCGTAAGGAAATTAATAAGATTAGATGCATTATTTCATGCTTTTTCATATTTTTTGAAAGACTACATTCTTATTGCAGCTTAGAGAATGTTGTCAGGAAATCATCAAAAACTACAATACCGCATCGAATTTTCAACAGGCCTAACTCAGACAACAAACTGCCAAATAGTAAATTTTTTGAAACTCGAACTTCCAACAACGGATAATCAATGTTGATTTTATATAGCAGATGGCGTTTGCGGAGTCGCAACATCAGACTCGAATTTTCTTTCGGTGCAGCCTAGAGGGCGTACCTAAATCATGATAATTTTATCCTCAAAGGGTTCACGGATCGAGCACAAAAAACCCTACTAAAGGGAGGAGAAAAAGATGCATCAAATGACGTCGGAGCTACTTATGAAAAGGAAAAAATTGCTCGTATCTTTTAGGGTTAACTCTATTCTACGCTACTTAAACTTTTTCATATAGTCGATATGAAAATTGAGGAAACCAGCGCCTTGACATGGCAAAACCATGGCAGTTTTTGGTCATTTTCTGAGAGCTCGTTGGCTAAGTTAGAATAGTGGAACCCACAATTTGGAGAGGTGAAAAGCTGCATCGAATGCGCCCAGTACGCCCAATACCATGGATCTTTGTTTTGCTGAATGCTATATACTCGCTTGAAAAGGCGAAATTACTATGAAAGGCGAAATTACTATTGGAAAGACCTACTGGAATGTGCATTTATTTCATTTGGATAGATAAATGTCTGTAACCGAGTATTCTATATAAACTTCAGCAACTTCGTTTCAACTTTATTCAGGATTTCAAGCGTTTTTGGAGGCAGATTAGAGGTTTCTAACTCATAAGCAAAAAACAGCTTACAGATACAAGTTTGATTCCTGCATATTTTTCACTGACTAACAGCTTGCCTCCAGCGAAACTCAAAAATGTCCGGAATTAGCAAACTATTTCTAAACATAGGCACAAATAGTTCTTCTTTCTGTATGTTGCTGTCTGCCGAAGATTTTTCGTTCTCGCACCTCTACCCAGGTTCGAAATCTGCACTCTAATGTGTATGGTACAAGAAACTTTTACGGCAATTTCATTTGAATCATTTCATCTCACTAACAACGCGAGTAGTTTTGCTAACTTAAAAAAATATTTTCCGCTTAAATATTAAGCAATAAGTCTTGCTTCTTCAAAAAACGTTCTCGTATTGCTCTTGTGACGTTTTGAGAAAATAAAAAATCGGATAAAATTCGGTATGAAGTACGATGAAATTCAATTGCCTAAAAATCAAAGCAGACTAACCATTGGTTAACTATAACAATGAGAAGGAGACGATGTAGACCTTTTCCACTGTCAAATTCAACAATGAGAAGGAAATAGTGCTCAATCAGCAGTACGAAAGGAAAAATAAATGAACAGCAGACAATTGCCTTGCAGTTTGGAAAAAAGCAAAACAGTAGTTACAGTAACAAAACAGTAGCAAAACAGTTAAACAAGTGAGAGTCTGGCGCATGGGAAACTTGAATCAGTAAGGGTTTCCTTGTCATCAACATACCACAAGCGAGAAGCGGACAGAAAAGTCGATTCCTTATTGATAGAAAGGCCGGAAAATGAATAAAGAAATGCTTTCCATTACTTTGAAGGCAAGAGGTCTTTATCAAATCCAAGGTTTGAAGGCTTGTACATATACGCTGAAGTCTGCGCTACTTAATCAATGGTAAGAAGGAAGTAGAGCAGCACGCTGTCTTTGACTCATCGTAAACAATGGAGAAATTTTCTTGTAAAAAAGCTTGATTAGTAGATCTCTACAAAAGTGAGAAGACAACGCTTAGATACAGCAGTGCTTGCAGCACATCATTCCTTGTATGCACAACATTTGCAGAAGCTTCGTCCCAAGCCTCTAGTTTAGAATTAGAAGCTAATGAGTAGCCCGTAGCTTAGACTGAATATCATGAGATTTTGTCTGCTTTCTGCTCCTAACGATTGAAAAACAAAAACCGAGGACAGATGAGATAAACTGTTTTAAATTCATTCAGTACTTTGCATCTGGACGAGCTACGAACGCTAGAAAAGGGGAGCGTTTCCCACTAGAGTTCCAAAGCACGGCACCTTTTCAGACTTTAGAAAGAGACGCTTTTTGTCAAGTTGAGAACAGACAAAATTCGTAGCATTTCGCTTAGTGCGGCAATTGAATAAATGCAACAATGATTCAGAGAAGAGAGCGATTGGATACTAGGAAATTTACTATCTCAAATTTGGCAACTATGCTAGCACTCAAATACAAAGATGCTATTGACTATTGACTATTGAACTTATGGGTAAACCAGAGTAAAAAGCTAAAGACATTTTTATATTTTTGAAGATTTATGTAGGTAATATACTATGTTTACGAAAGGTTTCATCGAAAAATTGCTTTGACTGATGGTGTAAACTTGCTTATCAAGCACTGTTGTTCAAGAATTGATGACCGAAGGAACAGGAAAATATTAGCCAAATCATTTGCGGAGCAGAGTTAATAAGTATGACAGTCAAATATTATTAACTCTAGCCTGATGCATTGCAGACATTTGCCTTGGACAGCTTATATTGGTTTACATTTTAAACCTCCATTTCAACAATTTATCAAATTCCATCGCTCATAAACCCACCAAGAATAAAGGCTGAAAAAACTTTAGCCCTAGCGCAAATCTAGGACACATCGCAAATGTAATCTAATCAGAAAAGCACCATTATTGTCTTCATTATCCAAAACTATTGAGTCATGTCTTGAAGGATTGCGTCTAGGTTTGAGTAGGAAACGTGGAACGGAACTATGGTAGGTTATGCTCGAGCCCTGATGCATATCAAAACAATAGCCATTCAACTATCCTGAACCTAATTTATATGCACATATCTGCGAAAAAAGAGCAAATTTCAAAAGGCGGCATATTTTCGGCATATTTAATTTCAACAGGTTTGGTCGTAGATGAAACTATGCAAAACGATGCTACTCTCACACAAAAGTGATCAATGTTCTGCTTATTTATTCAAATGCCACAAAGCATAATACCGATATTTTCTAAACCCTATTTACTCGCCGAAAAGCATTTGTCTTGAAATCTGATACATGGAAGCAGATTCGATACAGGTTGAGGAGAGACTTGACAACAAACATCGTATATGAGAACCGCAGTGTTAAGAGTGAATCAATTGCGCGCTTATCATTCGCTGCGCAAACGGCATATGAGAAAGAATGGAAAGAGGAAGCAATTGTTTGTAAGCAAGGTGTCAAATAACGAAGGAAGAAGCGAGCAGGTGTCAAATGGTAAAATAGCACGACAGAGTTAAGATTTATGAAAGTTGAGAACAAGCACGGCGATCTAGCAAAACAAAAGTGCACAATGAAGCTCGGACAGCGAATTTTGTTTAAATTACGCAACAGCTGGTCGGCATCGCAGCAGCGTCAAAAAGATAGAGAGCCGCAGGCTGCGCGTTTTCGATTCAGCACGCTCGGCCGTATACTGCGCCATTGAGCGGAAGTCGAGGCCCAGTCAGTGCGAGTAGAAATAAAATTTAACGCGAATAACCTTTACCATCATCATCTTCGATGTTCTAAGAGCCAAGATGGAGAAAACAACATGAGTAGAAGCCTTCGACTGATTTTTGATTTTTTGCAATTCATGCAAAACTTAATTTAGGGAAAGTGCTTTCTTGCAGGCAGCAGTCAATTTAATCGAGTTTGCGTGCCCGCAGTTGCATTATTGTCTCTCGCTATTACTCGGCTAAATTCCGCAATGACTCATATATCTCGCTTGCGCTTCCATGAAAAAAAGAAAATCAGCAGCTATGGGTAAGCTTACTCCACTCATATCTCCTCAGCCTTGCATCCGCTACTATTCCAACGGGCTTTTGCGCAATATTCAACCTAAATAAGGGATTTTGACGTAATATCGGTAGACGGAGTGTTATGCTACTTCTGCTCGACGATCGGATTCAATTCTATGCGACACAAACTTAAAAGTGCAGTTGCAGTGTGATTGGAGTCATATGTTTTTTGTTCTCTTTGAAATTCGATGGATGATTTTTTCTAAAGCATTTCATTCATGCTATGATGAGTAATCCAAATCTAATCAAAAACTTTTCTCGTGCCAAAGCATTGCCAATAAGCTAAATTTTTCACCTTCCAGAAAATAGATATAGGAAGCGTTAAAGCGCTTACAACTAAATTTCATGCTGTCATTATATAGATCTTAAGCTGTGCGCACAGATGTTGAAAAATTGTCTCCGTATAAACTGAGCCATGCGGCCTGATATGCGCATTAAGCGATATCCAGCAAAAAAGGATAGGGATGTCAACGAAAGATGAGATCAGTACACACAAGGAGAGAAGGTGAGAAGATTTAAAAAGAACAATGTAAGGGCCGCCAGTTTATATGCAACATGTCTACTTCCCTGTATACACGAGAGAGCACATGTTTATACATGAATGATGATGGTGAAACCAGAACCAGGGTCCGGCATGAGGGCTTGCAGAGTTTTCAAGGACGAAGTCCTCTATGACTCGCAATCTTACGAATTCTCTTTTTAAACTTTTGAGTCTCCTTCGACTTCTTCTTGGGATTTTCACACTTTATCGACGGATTGTAGAAATAAAAGAAAACAAAAGCAAAAAAGCAATTGAGATGCTTATTCCTTCAACAGCGTTAGACAGAAGAAGGAAGATTCTATGCAATACTGAAAATTAAAGCTAAGTTAGAACTGAGAGTTAAAAGGATTCAAAACCAAACCACAAACCGCATAGGAAGTTGGAATTGGAGCACGAATCTAAACTATCACTTGAACAGTTTGAGCGCGGAAAAAGAGTGCAATCAACGCTTTTACTTGCTCATTTGCTGAGGTACATACAGGGTGGTCCACATGAAGTGTGACCAACGAGAAAATATCATAACTTTGCATGTACTGCATGAAATCAAAAGCTTTAGGGACCCGTCATACTTCGCCGAAAAAAGCCCAAAAAAGCCCGAAAAAGCCCAAAAAAGCCCCAAAGCGCCAGAAAGAGCCGGAACACTTCTCGCACGTTTTGGCGCTGAGGCATGTGTGTTGACTTCGCAATCGAAGCCTTTTTATCATTTTCTGTCGTCCGCATGATAAGATAATGTCGGAATTCTACCAAAAGTTCGTTTCTACATTCCGGCTCTTTCTGGCGCTTTCGGGCTTTTTCGGGCTTTTTCGGGCTTCTTCGGGCGCTTTTGGGCTTTTTCGGGCTTTTTTGGGCGAAGTATGACGGGTCCCTTAATCCTCACCTGATAGAGAAGAGAATTCTGTATAAGAACTTCCAGCTAACATTTGAATACCTGTCCCTGGTTGCTTTTAAATCGTTATTCCTCCTCTAAACCTCTTCCGCAATTTCTTCAATTTGCGCGCGATGGTTTCTACTCCCAAACTCTCACCAGGTTTCTCGTCGGCAAATCAAACGACATAGGTTCTGAAGGGCAGACTGTTTCCTTACATGTATACAAAAAACAGTGTTTGTAGGTTTAAGGATGAGCGCTAGAGAGCCAAATATCATTTGTTTTCCACTGTTTAAACGACAGATTTTACACAACTGCAATTTCTTCTTTTCGCTGTGGATCGGTGTCTAGTCGTGCCAAAAATTCCCAAAAGCGACTATAGTATTTCTTTGATCCAATAAGGTGCCACAGCCCTTCCAAGTTTGTTTTCGATGCTTTTCCCAGAATCGCGGAAAATTGCGATTTTCGTTGCCATGGTGACTACCTTTGAAAAACCCTCGAGCTTGACCATGTTTTACTAAGAACCGAAGTCGGAAACAACATGGGACAAAGAAATATGGAGAAGACGACTATCATCAAAATATGGAATGAAAAAGACTAAAAAATGATTTTTTTGCAGCTAGTCAAACATCATGTGGGCCACATATATGAAAAAACACTGTTCGGCCTTTCCGCTCGAACCATTTGAACCCACAAACTTCTTTCTGCCCTACTATGAGCAAAAGCCCGCTCTTCCAGGTCCAATCCATTGAATTTGCTAAATGGAGATCCTGGGACGGAGTTCCGTCAAAAACCATTGCGCGCATTTTGAAATTTTCGCCGAGCAGAAGAAATTCTTTCATCGAAGCCAAATTTGGACATCCCAAAAGTAATCTATAATGTCCTATGCAGAAATTTCTTATCTATCAGGAGATAACAAAAGCTTTAAATTTCATTGAGTTCTAGCGAAGTTACGAAAGCTTTTCTGGGTCAAATTTCAGGTGGACCACCCTGGTAGACTTCAGGTAAGGGAAAGGATATGCCAAGAAATTCGAAAATTATGTAAACTCCCATGTTTATGCTTTGCAAACTCAGTTGGCCAGAGAAAGCCTTTGCAGCCATTATTGGCTTGGAGAGAAAAATGCATAATTTCTTGAGGTTGTTTTTCAAGGACCTTTCTAGAAAGGAAAGCTCAACTGAAGGAAATATCTTAAAAAAGGTTTTGTAAAGAGGACGTCAGATTTGCAGGCGAATATAAGTACAAGGGCACTTTCGATAAATTCCCCACACCGTACTATTATTACGATAGGCCTTAACCTAAGGTTCTGGTTACAAGCCGTCTTCAATCCTGAATACAAACAGTAACCACTTCGGTATAAGTTTTTACCGCTAAATACTAACAAGGAAGAGTTCCAGTCAGCTCAGCCGACCAGTATGGTTAATAAATCACCGTAACGGGCTTGAAACGCTGATTCCAAATCTGACTTCGGTTTCTGCGGAACACATTTCCGAACGAAGTTATGAGCATGTGAAAGTCCAAATTTGTCAAGTCTTAAGTGGCATAAAATTGGCGAAAACTGTGAAACCATGACATGTGAATAACATGGTTAATGTGAACATGTGAAATAGCATGTGAAAGTGCGTTATCAGGTTGTGCATCCACTATACTGACTACTAGCTGGCAAACTCGGCTCCGCCCGGCCCTGTCATTATTATATTCGTAATCAGCATGCTCGATTACCCCCTTGTGCCAACTCCCAGCCCCGTAGCTCAAATTTTGCAAAAAATCGATAAAATCGATATCGATCGATAACGAAAAGTAGCCTATGACACGCTCCCTGCCCCGAAGTATATGTGTGCCAAGTTTGGTCCAAATCGGTTCAGAAATAAAAATTTCTATTCCGCACATACGTACAGACATACAGACATACAGACAGACATACAGACAGACATACAGACAGACATTCAGCTTTATATATAAGATAAGAGCGGAATATAGCCAGTGGAAATCGGCTAGGTGTTCTTCTAACGCTTTTAGTTAATTTTAGGCCATTTTGAACATGACAAATTTAGACTTTCAAATGCTCATAACTTTCAAAGGAGAGTTCTTCCGCAGAAAAGGAAAGCAGATTTAGAATCAGCGCTTCAAGCGTGTTACGGTGAAATATGACTTATCCGGGTTAGCCGAGCTGACTTGAAAACTTTTCCTTGGAAGTCCTGCCTGCGGGGTAGAGGACTATATGTCGCCGAAAAAGGGCGGTCTCCGCGGTCATTTGCGACAAATACGCACCCTTATACATGCGCGGACATGCGTTCCTGCAGGGGATCCGCGCGGGACTCTTCCAAATCCGGCGACATATAGTCCTCCACCCTTGCCTGCGCATTCAAATGCTGATGAAAATATTAAGCTAATAGTACATGTTGCAAGTTGGAAGCCCAGGTCCACTCACTGAGTGTCTCCAATTAACAGAGCTCAGCTTCTGAAAATGCAAAGTCGAAAATGAGCATTCTCAGTAGGAAGGACCTTTTCGCACGTGACATTTTCATGTGCCATTCTATTTTATAGTTTGCAGCGGATTTTGCCCCAGATCAGAAACTTTTATAGTTTACCTTCTAGCTGTCAGCTGAACCACGCACATTCGCAAGTTTGCCATGTTTTTTTACCTGTTTAGAAGAGTTCAAATGTTTAGATTAACTGCGTAGTTTTGTAATCTATTTCTAGGAAACAGTCTGGCCCGTACTATCCCCCCCCCCTTCGACGCAACTGAGTTTAGCCTGGAACGCGTCAGTTCGGCGGCCTGTCAAGGTCTTCCGAAGGCCTGTCGCTTCTTCTTCAGGCGGGCCCTCGGGAGGCCATTATCTCCTTGCGCACCTCGCGCTTATGTCGCACTTGTCTCGCACGTTTCTGCGCTAGTTCCCCTTCAGACAATCGCCTTGTCTCCCCTGGCGTTGGTTGAAAAAGTCACTGCTTGAACGATGATTCTTCAATGATAGCAAAAGATGGAGATGTGGAACTCTCAGTAATTCACAAATGGAGATGAAACATCGATCACCTTACAGTTATTCAAGGTGAATAAGAAAGGTGTTGTTTTGGTAGTCGGAAAGGTCACCGCAGACAACGATTTGTCGGTAACAATCAAAAAATATGGAAAAAAATTAAACTGACTGACAGGCAAATACTGTGGGTATTGAGATGTGGTAGACAGATAGAAGCAAGCGCGTCCGCTCATCAGCGGAGCCAAGTCAAGAGCATATTTTTGGAAATATCTACTAAAAAACATATTGTGCTTTTTTGGCACTTCATTAGGCCCGCCGTACTTAAACTTTTGTCCTTATGGGAATCGACGCTTCCAAGGGTATGTAATTCAACAAGAACAAAATCACAGCAATTGTCTTTGATTTCCTTCTTAACATTAAATGCCATTGTGCGAAGCCTCCTTCTCGGGAGCTTCTTGAGCTTTTCTTGTCGCCAAATTGCATGCATTCTAAGCTGCAAAATTGATTTGCATAAAAAAAGATGCCGGCTCACTAGAACTCTTGTTAGGCATCGCAAATGTAATCTGGTCATCTGAACATTTTCGAGTGTTTTCCGGCCATGCTGTTATCTACATTTCTTTCCTTTCTGAACTGCACTTCCATTAACAAATACGAAAAAGCCAG